TATTTGAGAAGGGTCAAATCATTGGCATCAAGCAGAGAAAACTTCTAAGGAGATTGCAGAAACTACTAAAATTGGGTTAAGAACTGTCCAATGCATTATTAAAAACTGGAAGGATAGTGGGGATCCATCGTCTTTGAGGAAGAAATGTGGCTGGAAAAAAATCCAGAATGATTGTGATCGGCGATCACTTAAACATTTGGTGAAATCAAATTGAAGAAAAACAACAGTAGCTCTCAGGGCTGTGTTTAGTAGTGAAAGTAAGAGCATTTCCACACACACAATGCAAAGGGAACTCAAGGGATTAGGACTGAACAGCTGTGCAGCCTTAAGAAAACCACTAATCAGTGAGGCTAACTGGAAAAAAGGCTTCAATTTGCTAGGGAGCATAAAGATTGGACACAGGAGCAATGGAAGAAGGTCATGTGGTCTGATGAGTCCAGATCGACCCTGTTCCAGAGTGATGGGCACATCAGGATAAGAAGAGAAGCAGGTGAAGTGATGCACCCATCATGCCTAGTGCCTTTTCATCAATGCAAGATCTTGGTGAAAATTTAATACAACACTGGATGGAAATAGATCTCGTGACATTGTAGAAGTTTATTGAAACAATGCCACTGTGAATGCATGCCATAATCAAAGCTAAAGGCGGTCCAATGAACTAATAGTGTGTCACCTTATTTCTTTTGGTGGCAACGTTTTTTTTGTCCAGGAAGTGTATATTTTACCTCTACTTTAGATTTATTGTTCTGGATAAAGTCAAGTTCAAGTAGGTTTTATTGTCATTCACATCACATGTGGTACGTGAGATGGAACAAAATTGTGTACAAAGAGTCCCAGTTACACCAACAATAGCAAAAATATAAAGTGTAAAAAGAAACAGTAAATAAGGATCTAAGATATAAACTAAGAAATAAGCTAAACACTAATGGTGCAAAACACTACGCCGAACAACAGCAGCACGAACATGAGTCTGTGTGAGTAGATGAGTACAAATGAATACAGCAGCATGAAATAATCAGCAGCATGAGATAATCAGCAGCATGAAATAATCAGCAGCACGAGATCAGCAACATGGATAATCAGCAGCACATATTACCAATCAAGTGGCATTACAATTATTATTTTTTCAGTGATAATCCTGGTTAGGGATTTATAACAGCTTCAGGATAGAAGCTGTTCCTCAGTCTATTGATTCTGCACTTGATGCTCTGCAACCTTCTGCCTGAGAGGAGTGGGGCAAAAAGTGTGTATGCTGGGTGAGTGGGGTCCTTCATGATGCAGGTGGCCCTCTTCCTGCATCTAGAGGTGTAAACATCTGTGATGGTGGGGAGACTGACACCAGCAGACTTCTGTGCAGCCTTCACCACTCTCTGCAGAGCTTTTCTTTCTCCAGCTATGCAGCCTCCATGCCGCATGTTGATGCTGGAGCACAGGATGCTCTCCAGGTCAAGTCAAGTTAACTTTATAAAGCAATTTTTAAACATCAGCTCTTACCAAAGTGCTTAACAATGAGAGTAAAATTAGTGGACAAATTAACACCAATGAGAGTAATGAAAAAAAAAACTATTAAAAGCATCAAATAGAAAACATAAAAACAGAGAAAAATAAACAAAACAAAACTTGCACTGTGTGAAATGCCAGAGAAAACAGATATGTTTTTAGCAGAGATTTGAACACAGGAAGGGAGGTGGCCTTCCTAGTTGTTAGTAATTTATCTAGACTGACCCTGGATTTTTGATCTGCTCAGTGATGGGATTATAATGAAATTATAACCCGGTTCTGACTGGATTGAACAGGGCCAGCAACTCCAAAAAGAGTCTCCCAGGTGTTAGGTATTTCTCCCGTACCTAGAAAAATAAAGAACCACACAGGACATAGAGTAAGATTTTTAGTGAAGCTTTTTGCAAAAAGGGAAGTTCACAGTTACAACACTAGGGCTGGTTTCTGTGAACTCCGAAGGTTTTCCAAATCTGCTCGCCCTTTTATTTTTCACACAGGAAGGAGGAAAAGACTGGACATCTTGACTAGGCAGATTACAATGAGGGCAAAGTGATCTTAGAACATTTTGATTAAATGCTTAAGAGAAACAATGGGTATGTTTACATGGACATAAGTAACCGGATCAAATGGCCGGTCGGAATAAAAGTGTGTCATGTAAACACTCCGTTCGGGTTATTTTTTGTGTATTCGGCGCGATCCGTTATAATTTGTGATCAGAACGAAACGGGTGGTTTACGCCGATCCGTAACCCGATCGGTGCGCATGTAAACGCTTGATCTGTTCGTTTTTATCTGATGGTGAAAAACTGACCTGACTGCGCATGTGCGACTTTGCCATTTCCGCCTGGCTAACGCTAATAATATTAGCATGTCAGGGAAGTAAAACTGGTCGGTGAGCGACACAACATTTCTACTAGAAACTTTGAAAGAGCTCAAAATGATCTGTATCACCTGTAGCTCAGTCAGGGAGTGCAATAACGTCTCCACCATCATTAAAACCTGTCGCGGGTCCATTTTGGGTGCTCAGGTTTGTTTACGTTCACCCCGGAAGTAGAACTTCTTCTTCGGTGTTTTTTTTAAGGAGAGTTTACCACTCTGCGCATGTCAGTACTGCTGTTCAGAACAAAGCCCGCTGCATGTAAACGCTCATCATGAACTGATTGTGCCCATGTAAACAATACATTTGAATTATTCAAACAGAACACATTTCAATCCGGTCAAAGAATTCTGCGCATGTAAACATAGCAAATGACGGTGTAAGATTGATGGGATATGAGTTGATATGTATAATCTTGACATTTCTGGTTTTACTGTAGGTCTATAGTTGGCCAGAATTTCTGAATCAAAGTCAAACTTCTTAAGTAAAGGTTTAATTACAGCAACCTTGAAGTCCTGTGGTACATAACCATTCATTAAAGACAAATTAAGTAGATCCAAAATGTGGACATTAATTAGGGGAAATACCTCTTTAAACAGTCTGGTTGGGATGGGATCTAGCAGACATGTGGATGGTTTGGATGAGGTTATTATTTTTGACAATTCAGAGTTCAACAGGACAAAAACTGTCCAAACATAAATCAGGTTTTAGTAAAAAAAATTATGGAGCCAACTAAATCAAGATGGCTGTCAACTGATTTTACTATGATGTGGTAGTAGCTGAGAGTCATTCACAACATACAGGTCCTTCTCAAAAAATTAGCATATTGTGATAAATGTCATTATTTTCCATAATGTAATGATAAAAATGAAACTTTCATATATTTCAGATTCATTGCACACCAACTGAAGTATTTCAGGTCTTTAATTGTTTTAATACTGATGATTATGGCATACAGCTCATGAAAACCCAAAATGCCTGTCCCAAAAAATTAGCATATTTCGTCCCACCAATGAAAGACAAGTGTTTTTAATACAAAAAACACCAACCTTCAAATAATCATGTTCAGTTATGCACTCAATACTTGGTCG